GCGCTACTCGGCCGGCCCCAAAGTTCTAAACTGTCTTTTTTATTTTATAATTTACATTTCTCTGCAGAGACTCCTATTTTTTCATTCATTTCAAATCATTTCCATGCATTCAAATGTGTTTACTTTGACCTCAGGGAGCATAGTTATAGTAGGTACTTTAAAGTCTTTGTCTGATAATTCCAACATCTGGATCATGTTGAGATTAGCATCTACAGTGAGTGTCTTTATCCTTGAGAATTGGTCACATTTTCTTGGTTCTTTGCAATTTTGAATGATACACTGGTTATTTTGTTTATTATGTTGTAAAACTTGGGTCTTGTTAAAATCTGGGAAATGGTGATTTTTTTTTTTTTTTAGCAGGCAATTGGTTAAGTTCATTCTAAAAGTTCTGTCTCTCGCTTCTGGGTGGGCAATGGTTCCAATATCACTTTAAGTCTCAAAGTCTTTGTTATGCTGCTTGGGTCTGACCCCACATGTGTTGCTCTGGGGTGAGCTCAGGATTTATCCCAGTTCATATACTGAGTAAGGGATCACCTTCTCCAGCTCTCTCCTCTCTAGGATCCCCCTTACACTCTCTGGCTTGCAGGAGCCCATTTTCCAGTTCTTCTCACCAGAAAGACAGGGTTCTCTTGAAGTTTAAGCTGCCTGTTCTGTTGCCTCATAATTTTGTGTCATCGGTGTTGCTCTTGGGCAAAGCAGAGAGAGAAAAGTAACAGGGGTTTCCCATACACGCACATACACACGATTCAGACCACAAAGGTCCTTTTTCCTGATTCTTCTGGATAGAAATACAGAATGTCTTTCAGAGTTTTAGCTCTGTATGGTGCCACTGTGGAGTTCTGCAACTGGGGTCACCGTGGGGGAAGGGCCTGGATTAAAAAAAATATATATATATGGAAAATAAGGAGGATCCCTGCCATACTCGTCAGCTCGAAGGCACCCTTTTTCTCAATCCTCTGGCCACAAAGACAGGAATCCTCTGAGAGTTTTGCCACGAGTGCTCATTGTGCAGTTCTGCAACTAGGGCCACCCTTGGGACCAAGCTGAGAGAGAAAAGAGAACCATTTTCAAAACAAAACAAAATGAGAAACTCCCCTCTGTATGTACATGTTGCCTCTTCAGATTTTGACTCCCCTCCCCAATCTGCCTGCTGTTTACTTTTCAGTCCTCAGTTAGTGGCTTTTTGTATTTGTCCCATTTTTTTAGTTGTGATCAGCGAGAGAGATAGGCTCTAGTGGGCTAACTTCACCTTGGCCAACACCAGAAGTCCATGTTTGATATGTATTCCATTTTATAATCCTTTTTCAGAAACAGAGCATCACTGGGGCTGAGGGTCAGGGCCAGGTTAAAGGCCAGAAATGAGAGAGAGAGATAGGGAGAAAGAGAGAAGGAGGCAGGGAGGGAAGGGGAGAGAGAGAAAGAGAAGCATGGGCGGGGCACATGTGGGAGCATGAGACCTACGTCAGTCTTGCTGCTGTTGACTTGGTTATTGACTTCATCTTTTTTTTCCTTTTTCTTTTCAGGTTTCTATAANCCCTAATCCTAGCTTTACCCACAGGATTTATACTTTGGTCTTCTGTCTCTGTACGTCACTAAGGGATGTTTTTACCTCCTTGGCTTCAACTAATATTTCAATGTTGATAGCTCCCAAATCAACATATCACCAATCTGAATTTTTTACTCCAACTCTGGAACATATTTAGGCAGTGGCCTAAAACCCTCTGCTTGATTATCTATCCGCTAAATCCATTTCCCTAAAACCTAATCATTGTCTCTAAGTAATGATCTTTCCTCTTCCTTCTCCATTTCTGTTCTTAGTTCCATCACTTTCTGAGTAAAGCTAGAGATCTTTGAGTACCTTCCCTTCATCCATAATAATGAGTCTGCCAATAAGGCCTACATTTTCTTGCTTTGCAAATTTTTTCTTACTTTCTATTTGCACTGCCACCATTCTGTTTATTCATCTGGTTAAGCACATAATAATTCAAAAACAATTTGAAATGTCCTACAAAGATATATACCATACCTTCAGATATAATAAACAGATGAAGAAAAATGGACAAAGAGAAAAGCTAGGGAAAATAACACAGAAGTTGTTAGTTCACAAAAATACATAACATGAAGCCCTAGATAGTTACTAGAGGAGAACCACAAATGTGTCCCTGAGCTGCTTAGTAGATAAAGCAAAGAAGTAAACAGCCAGCAACAAGTTTCATAATCTTGTCCATAAATCACAAAACAAACCATGAAAAGAAAAGAAAACAAAACAAAACAAAAAACCACTTGGTCAGGAAACACAGCTTTCACAATACTGAGACTGACTTCTGAGAGATTTATCCTGTGAATCAAGTACTGGAGAATATATTTGAAATCATCCTTATAATAAATTCAATATCCCATTGTGCTTTTTGGGTTTTTTTTAATCCCTCATTGTAAACCAGTTGAGCAAAACAACTCTGTGAGGTACTAAGACAATGTGATTCAAGTATGCAGCTTTTTGATGACTTGGTTCTGAGATGACAAATAAGTTTCATTCGATATACATCTGATAGTGGCTGACTATCAGATAGTGTGGCATGTTGTGATGAGATGTCGAGCCCAGATTGAGTAAGACTGACCGCTTGACCAGCAGTGTCTGCAGTGGGCCCTGGAGGCTTGCCATGTGTTGTCAGACATTGGCCAGAGAAATGATTTCACTACATTTTTGTAGTGGAACCCTTTTTTCAAATAAAATTTTATGTACAATTCTAGTGTATGACACTGATAAAAGCAGAGCTAGGTAGCAGTACTTAAGGCACCTCTGTGGAGATCTCTGGTGAAAACATTAACATGAAAAATGGATGGTCTGTCATCTTCCATGACAGTTATGTCTGTGACTAAGATTTTTAACATCCATAAACTTCCACCTGGATTCAAAAATTTTGCCACATTTGCTTTTTCTCCCTCTCAGTTTTTGCTGAAACATTTGAAAGTAAGTTGCAGACATCATGGCACTCCTAAATATTTTAGCACTTTATCTCCTAAGAATAAAGACATCCTCCTAAATAACAATACCATTATCTCATGCAAGAAAATTAACATTAATTCAACAATATCCAATATAGAGTCCATAGTCAAATTTCCCCAACTGCTCAGAACATCTGTCTTATAACTCTCACCTCTCCAACCCTAATCTGGGTTCATTCACTGCATTTGGTCATTATGTCTCTTTCATATCTGCCGATCTACAACAGTATTACTGCATTTTTTAAAATGATTTTTCATGATATTGAATTTTTAAAATGCTGTTGTTCAGCATCTTAGCTGTAGAGGGCAGTGNTATGGAAAACAGTATGGTGGTTCCTCAAAAAATTAAAACTAGAACTACTAAGTTCTATTCTACTTCTGGGTATTTATCTGACGGAAACACAATCATTATCTCAAGAAGATATTTACACTCCCATGTTCACTGCAGTATTATTTACAATAGCCAAGACATAGAAACAACTTAAGTGTCCATTCACAAATAAATAAAATATATAATGGAATATAATTTATCCATTAAAAAGAACGAACCCTTGCCATTTGTGACAACATGGATGGACCTTGAGGGCATGATGCTAAATGAAATAAGTCAGAGAAAGACAAATACTGTATGATATGAAATAAGTCAGATAGATAAAGACAAATACTGTATGATATCGCTTATATGTGGAATCCTAAAATAATAACCCAATCATAGATACAGAAAACAAATTGGTGATTACCAGAGGCCCACCTCTGGATGGGGGTGGGGGTTGGGAAGTGGGCAAAATTGGTGAATAGGATCAAAAGGTACAAACTTCCAGCTATAAGATAAATAGATCTTGGGGATGTAATGTACAGCATGGTGGCAAAAAGAAAAGAAAAGAAATAACTAATTTTCCTTTAATTTTTTTAATTTTTATTTTATCTATAGCATCTGTTGCACCCCTTTTCAATTCTTGGTTTGGCTTCTCAAAGCAGTCTCCCAAAAAACAAAATCCTTTGGTTTTGGAAAAGAAAACAGAATCAGCAATTTTTCAGGTGTGTGGTGAAAATCAAACATCCGTGGAATCCGCCCTTTCCTGCATACAGGATATGATTAAAAAGGAACAGGGTGTTTACACCAGTGAAGATGAATGTATCAAAGACTTTGATGAAAAGGAACGTCAAGAACTGATTAAGCTGCATAAGAATTTAAATATTACCATTTACTTGTACCCTGAAAGACCTTCGATTAAGGTTTCAGGAATTAGCAAAGATGTGGAACAGGCCAGAAATGCTATTGAGGAAATGATCAAGAGAGTTCGATTGGCCAAAGAGCAGGAATCCAGAGCAGATTTTATCAGTGAATTAATAGAATGGCAATATAACGACAATAACACTTTTCATTGTTTCGACAAAATGAGCAACCTGAAACTAGAGAAAGCAAGGAAAGAAAAGAAAAAGACAGTCAATGTGCAAATTAATCAGCAGAGCTACACAGTGGACTTGAACACATACGTTGCGACAAATGCACAGGGACATAGTTTACCTGTTCAGCGCCACACCAAATGCGAAGGTCAGTCAAACTTTCATGCTTGTTATCTATTATTTTACACTTTGGGCTTAACACCATTTTGTACATACATCAAAATTGTATTCGGGTAGATAAAATTCAAGGAACCCTATGGAATAAAATAGAAAACTTGGTCTCTGAGCTTAAGGAGCTTACCTTATGACTGGAAAAATACAACATAGGCAGGCCCAACAGCCTGAGGATGACCATCTTAGTGGTAACACTAGCCAAACCTTGCTTTTTTACAGTTTACAAACTGCCTAGAGCCAGTTCTTCTGCAGAGGTAATGGCTGCCTCAGTCAGGAGTGGGAAAGCCATGGACTTTAAAGAAAAGTGGTCCAAGGTTTTCTGGAACAAAAGGGAGAAGACAGCCCGGTCAGAGAGTGGGCACTTTCTGTGTCTGCGACTGATACCCAGAGAGGATCGGGAGCCTTGTAGGATCATCTCCCAGAGGTCACTTCCTTCTCTGCCCTGAAAAAAAGGTTCCTTGACACACATATCAGGCCTTCTGATTCTGTGACTGGACCTGCTCCCCGAGGAGGGAATGCTTGTCTTGTGTAGACAACCATTCCTGCTTTCAAGCCACCGAAGTCCCCCATTGAAAACAAGTAAATAGGCTTCCCTTCAGTACATTATCTTCATCTCTTGTGAGATTAGTGTGAATGAATTCCTCAGACTCTGAGCAACCCTGGGGAAATGACTAGATGGGGAGACAGAGCTGCCACCACCCCCTGCCACATAGCAAAACCTGCCACCCACTCAACTCTTAAAGATGCTGTGAAGAAATGATGAACGAACAGATGTGGAGGGCCTTGTGGTGGTGTGGAGTTCTGGCAAAAAGCCATGAGTTTGTAAACAAGACAGTAGCAACTATTTAAAACATCGTAGGGAAATAATTTGTTAAATTATTAAATTATGAGAGGTTAGAGGCTTAACAGAATATGCAGCTGAATTACACTACACCAGCAGTTCTCATATCCAAGCATGATCAAAACTTGTTAAGATGTAGGTTCACAGGTTCCACCCCTCAGAGATTTTGATTCAAGAAATCTATGGGTTTTGATTTGTTTTTTTTAACAAGCATTACAGTTGGTTCTGTGGTCCATGCTTTAAAAAACATTCTCCTAGAAATATAAGGAATTTTTTTAATACATTGAAGTAGGTGATTGTAAAACAAGAATACAAATACTATTTAGTTTTCCAACGTATACCAGGAAGGTGGACTGTATAGATGAGCCTTCCCGGGTGTGAGGGTGTCCTCAAATGTCTACTTTGCAGTTGAGCTCCCTTCGCACTGGAGTGATATGAAGCAGCAGGATGTCAGTCTGGTTGAGCTACAGCCTGGTAATGCAGAATATGACACGGTGGCAAAGGAGTTTAATCAGACCTGCTCACACTTCAAGATAAAGAAGGTAAGTCTTCTGCTGACATGGAGTTTCTTTGCAACATTTTTNCTCCCTTAGTGGTATTTATAAGTTGAGTTAGACTGTGAACAAGACAACTTCTGGCTATGAAAGAAGCCCTCTTCCTGTTACCTGCAGACACCTGTCTTAGGGGAGAGAGTGCGTGGTCAGTGATACCTGAAAGTGCTTCAAGCTCAATGTAAAGTCCAAGCTCCAATTCACTGTCTTCTCCCCCAAACCCGCCCTTCCTCTTACATCCCTGATTATGTTAAAAGCATCAGTTTCTATCTAGAATTCTTGACTCTACCCTCTTTATCACGCCTGTGTTCACTAGCATGTTAATTAGTTTGATTAAATAGTTATTGAGTGCTTGTCATGTACCAGGCACCAGGCTGAAGCCCTGGGCATAGAAAGATGACTGAAAAGGGGTCCAGTCCACGTAGAGCAGCACCTAGCCTATTGTGAGAGACAGACATGTAAATACATAACCTTAGTATGGTGTGCCCTTGACATACACATGAAGGCATGTGGTGGCAAAAGAGGGGGGACAAGAGGTCAAGGATAAGCGCAGTTGGTCACTAGGTCCTGCTGAGTTTACTTCCTAAACGTCTCCTCAATCCCTACACCTGAGTCTTCATTCTTGCCCCCTCTCTAATAAAAAACACACCAACAAAAATCCCGAGTAAACCCTCTTGGTAAGTTTTATATGGGATTTGTCTACATTGCTAAATTGTCTACATAGCCAAGTTAAAGAGGCCTACTCTCATTTCCATAATAATGGTGACAAAACCTCCCCATTGCATCTAGAACTTCAAAAATGTTTGCTGGTGCGTTGTTAGAAAAGTCCATGGTGATAAAAGAGCTGAGGAACGGGTCCGTTAGTCTGTGAGAATTGGAATCCCTAATTTATTCCTCAGCCTTTTCCAGGTAATTTTTTTTTTCCCCAGTCATTTTTATCATTTGCTTCTCAGGAAATGCCAAACAAGACCCAGATAAGGTTGCTGAAGCCATAATTCAAGCCATTGAAGACTTTGTCCAGAAAGGATCAGTTCGGTCTGTGAAAAAAGTTAAAGTTGTTATCTTTCTGCCTCAAGTACTGGACGTGTTTTATGCTAACATGAAAAAAAGAGAAGGATCTCAAGCTCCTCCCCAACAGTCTATGATGTCTAAATTTGCATGTGAGTTGTTCATTTTTATGAAATGCACATTCCTAATATTGATGTCACATGAGAAATAGCTATTACTTTAAATCTAAATTTTTTGGGGGTAATTTATTAGCTTCATCTCCAGTTTTCTTGAGATATAATTGACATACATCACTAGAAGTTTAAGGTGTACAGCATAATGATTTGACTTCTTGTACTGTGAAATGATTATTGCAATAAGTTTAGTTTACATCCATCATCTCATATAGATACAATGACAAGAGAAAGCAAAAACGAAAAAAAGAGTTTTTTCCTTGTGATTAAAACTCTTGGAATTTACTTAACAACTTGCATATGTATCATACAGTGCTTTGAACTATGGTTATCATGCTGGACATTACATTCCGAGTACTTATTTATCTTTTTTTTTTTTTTAAGATTTTTATTGGGGAATTGGGGGAAGGGGAACAGACAAGTTGCTGTTCTTTTGTTCTGCATCTTAGCTGTAGAGGGCAGTGTCACTGGCCCTCATATGTGGATCCGAACCTGGGCCCTCTGGCTTCCCAAGCCAGCTCTTAACCAACCACTCGGCTGGCCCTTATTTATCTTTTAACTGGTAGTGTGTGCCTTTTGATCACCTTCCTCCAATTCCTCCTCCCCCCACCCTCTACCTCTGATAACCATGAATCTAATCTCTTTTTCCATGAGTTTGTTGTTGTTGGTGGTGGTGGTGGTGGTGGGGGGGTGTTGTTTGTTTGTTTAGATTCTGCATATAAGTAAGATCATATAGTATTTGTCTTTCTCTGTCTGACTTGAAATAGCTAACCTGTAATGAAGTATCAGAAAGAGAAATTTAAAAAACATTCCCATTTACAATTAAATCAAAAAGAATAAAATACCTAGGAATAAATTTAACCAAGGAGACAAAAACGTTTTATAAGATACTGATGAAAGAAATTGAGGAAGACACAAATAAATGGAAAGATCTTCTGTGCTTCTGGATTGGAAGAATCAATATTGTTAAACTATACATACTACCTAAAGCAATGTACAGATTCAATGCAATCCCTATCAAAATTCCATTGACATTTTTCACAGAAATAGAACAAGTAATCCTAAAATTTGTATGGAACCACAAAAAAACCCCGAATAACTAAAGCAATCTTGAGAAAGAACTATATAGTTGGAGGCATCAAGTCATCACACTTCTTTATTTTGAACTGTATTAAAAGCTATAGTAATCAAAACAGTATGGTATCAGCATAAAAACAGACATACAATAGATCAAGAGAAGAGAATAGACAGCCCAGAAATAAACCCATGTATGTATGGTTAATTAATTTGCAACGAAAGAGTCAAGAATATACAACAGGGAAAGGATAGTCTCTTCAATACATAGTGTTGGGTGCTTGCTTCAGCAGTGCATACACTAAAATAAATGGTGTTGGGAAAACTGGACAGCCACGAAGAAGGATGAAACTGGATCACTATCGTACACCATACACAAAAATCCACTCAAAATGGATTAAAGACTTGAATATAAGACCTGAAACCATAAAACTTCTACAAGAGAACACAGGGGGTAAGCTCCTCCACATCGATCTTGGCAATGATTATTTTGGATTTGACACCAAAAGTACAAACAGAAAAAGCAAAAAATAAGCAAGCAGCACTACATCAAACTAAAAAGCTTCTGTACAGCAAGGAAACTGTCAATAAGATGAAAAGACAACCCATAGAATGGGAGAAAATATTGCAAATCATATAATTGATAAGGAGTTAATATCCAAAAATATGTAAAAAATTCATACAACTCAATAGAAAAAAAAACCCAATCTGATTAAAAAATGGGCAGAGTATCTGAATAGACATTTTTCCAAAGAGGACATACAAATGGCCATCAGGTACATGAAAAGGTGCTCAACATCGCTAATCATCAGGGA